GGCTATCAGATACTTAAAATGAAATCATCAACTTTATATCAAAATTGGATTTATTAGTTTTGTCAACTTTATATCATAAATTAATTAAGTATTTTCTAAAAGTCATTTCTATATTTTGTTCAAAATATTTTTTTAGCGGCACATAAATGTTATTTATATTTTTATATTTGGTTATCTTGTCTACGAAGAAAAAAGATAATCTTGCAACTCTACTATGCCGACAAAAAAATGTATGAAAAACAACATAAGTATTAATTTATTATGTTTTACTCAATACAGGAAATATAATAAAAATATAAAGATTAACGATTAATTCTCTATAATTGCTCAATCAAGTCTATATATTTAAACTAAGGATTTTGATAGTTTTTATAATAGCCTCATATTTGTTTCCATAAAACTAAATCATCCTAAATTTAAATTCAACTAATAAAGGTAATAACCATAAATATTTGACTAAAAAGATTATGTACATTAATTACATTGATTTTTGTTAATTTACTAATTTTAGTCAATAATTAATGAAATTGGCGGGAAAGTGTTTGTAAAAGTGAATTATGTTAATCCTTATTATATATTAATAGATTTGAAAAAAAAAAAAAAACCTAACATATTTTTTGGAGCAAAATTTGCTTTACTTAATTTCATTATATTATATATAGATTGTTTGTGGTGCAAAAATGTATTATTCAAATCCACTCTGTCCACACACACCCACAATCGTAAGACTAATTTAACTTTAACATATAATAGCATTATGAAAAATGATATTTTGATAAACAATTGGAATTAGGCTGAGCATGGAACTTGGGAATTTTGAAACCGTTTTGAAAATCAAATCGAAATCACTTTGAGCTGAAAAATAATCGTTGGTCGTTTGACTTTTTCCGAACAGAAGAAAAAATTGGTACCGTTTTCGTCCTATATCGTACCGAACCGAGACCGAAATTAAGAATCCAATTATAACATTAGATGTGTGTAACTAATATATTTTATGTCAACTTTGATCCTACATAATGTAAGATTTTTTAAAATGCAAATAAAGTATAGTAATAACAATTAAGTTTCACTTAAGTTTCATGTTTAGGAATACTTGATTTATATTTGAATTTTTCTTGTTATAAAGAAATTATTCAAAATGGTATGAAAGGTTAATAAATATTTTTTTAACAAAAAATATATTATATTTTGTTTGAATATTATATTTTTAATGTGTACAAATTTATTCTTAACTAAAATTTAGAGTTACTTCTAAGTTGATTTCAAAAAAAAATTTTTAATATGAGGAAGTATTGATGAATGTTGTTTCTTTAAAGCATAGAAAATTAAATAATTAAAATTTATAGTTACTCTACAGTTGATTTCAAAATAAAATCTTCAATATGATGAAATATTGATGAATGTTGTTTTTTAAAACATATAAAAATTAAGAAAAATGCTACATGTACATAATAAATGTACATAGAGGTGTACATAACTCTCGCATGATGTGGGGTCCACTTGATTTGTTTATTTTTGGTGGGCCCCACACAATGTGAGTATTATGTACACCCTTATGTAAACTATTATGTACTTGTATCATTACTCAAAAACTAAAATATAACTAGGTAGTCCATCAAAAAAATTTAAAAACATAAGAAATATTCAAAGATCCAAACCGAACCATTCCAGACCAAATCATTCCGATAGTCCTAAATACCAGATAGAACTGAACTGAAAAATAAAAATCTCCGAATCGAACTGTTTCATTTTTGATACGGTTCCGAAGATCGAATTTAGTGATCTCCGAATTTTGATATGGTTCCTTAAATTTCTCAATCTCTGAATCGTGCCGACTATAATTTCCAATGTGATTATATTTTGCAAAAGGTGCATTGAATTTCTCCATTGACTATTACAATCTAAAGTGGATCCATCTCTTTTCCATTTAAGGCCATTAATTTTATCAAAATTTTATTCACAAAATTGTATTACAAAAACATCTTTTTTTTTTTTTTTTCATTTCAAATTCCATTTATTTAACTAATCTTCTTAAATGATGGATAAAGTGGAGTTTTGAAACCCTGCACAAAAATCTTGCATCTCTCTCCTCTGATGCACTGATTTTCCATTGCCCTTAACGAGAGGATATTTGCGGAGAGCTTGCGTGAGGTCCAGTCATGAGGGATTCGGGTCTGGATCTATTCGACCCGAAAAGCGTCGGCGAAGACAGCTCGTCTCCCGGCGGTAGCCGTGACCCGGACTTTGGGTTCGCGTTCAACGACAGCAATTTCTCCGACCGGGTTCTCCGGATCGAGATTGTCGCGGATCANNNNCGAGGCTTGCCAAACCCTAGCTGACTGGGCCGCGCGCAAAAGCAAACGGCGTCGCGGCGATGCTGCGAAGAGGGAGAACGGTGAGCTGCCTAGCATTTTAGGCTTTTAGCATTCTGAATTGTGAATAGGTGTTCTATTGTTTGTCTGGGGATTTGAATTAATGGCTTCGTGTCTAAAATGATTGTTTCTTTCCGTGGTTTGAGCCAATTGGGTCGGACAACGAAAAAAAGATGAAACCTTGTGTTTTATCGTCTTGATCTCATGCATAAATTCATTATTGAAAATGGTTTTCTTAGTTGATTTGTGTATAACAAGCTATATTTTATATGTTGTTATCTTACCCTATTATGTGTTTAAAAAATTACAACTTGGAGATACTTTGAGATTGATTTAGTACAACAAAAAATTGTAACAGCCATAAATTTTAGGTTTGCTTGTATGTTTTAGGGATATGATATCAGGATAGTTCTTTTCAGCAATTGATGAGCTGAAGCTTCATAATATTATTGAATATCTGTAAATTCCTGGGGAAATGGCTGAAGAAAATTTGTAAGTGTTTGATATGGTGTTGAAGTCTAGCTACTTTATGATGAGCCTTAGGTGAATACTGTTTCTTTAAAATTTTGTTTAAATTAAAAATTGCCTCTATAGCATGGGGTTATACACGGGTAAATTTTGTAGAAACTAAAAGTTACTGTTGAAATAAGAGACCTCATCAGGCTGTTGTACTTGTGAATTGTGATATAGTTGTTTCTTGAAAATGGGCTTGTTCTTTTTTTATGTGAATCTTTTTTCGTGTATTATTGATGGTATAAATGGTTGCTCAAGTACTCATTTCCTTTTGGATTAGCCTCTACAAATGTTTTTTTAGGTCTAATCTTCTCTGTAAATTCCGTCTTTTATTGCGTGTAAAATTTTCTGATGACCTTTGCCTTTGCTTTTGCCTTTCACTCATATTTCTGACTTATGCATGTTCTTATGCTGGTATGGGTTGTGCTCATCTTAATCAGACATATACCACTCGTTTGCAGCTTTGGATATCAACCAGTGCCCTGAAGAGCAGATTTTAGATAGCCAGTCAGATGCTGAAGACGGTGGTGATGAGAATCCTGATGAGGAGGAAATCCTGTTCATTGAAGATTTACAATCAGGTAACGAGTAGCTAATAAAAGTTCGAATCTGAGAATTTGTTTTCATTTGCCCCCTCCATGTATTATTTCTGAATGAATCACTGCCTATTCTATTAAAATTGGGATTACTTCTGGGACTAATTGATTTTGTTTGCACTATATCCTACACCTAAACCTTATATTTGAAGTAGAAACGATTTTCCACAGTTTTGCTTAGCAACCATTGAAGTAGAAATGATAATCCATAGTTTTGTTTATGTTTTAACTTTTTACTTGTATTTTTATTTATCTCTGTAGGTGATGAAGCTGCAAATAGTGATGATTCAATTGGGACGGAAGATGGTTCAAGACTCCTGAGAGTTAAAACTTTACACATAAGCTCTCCCATATTAGCGGCAAAAAGTCCATTTTTCTACAAGGTACTGTTAGTGTTATTTTGTAATATTTTTTTGCATTTCTAGGTGTTTAATTTATAACATGTTTCTTCCTCCTGTTTTGCAGTTATTCTCTAATGGTATGATGGAGTCAGAACAGAGATACGTAACTTTGAGAATTAATGCCTCTGGTATGTTTTATTCGGTGAATTTGATATTTTGACTATTTATGTTTAACCTCATGACTAATTTTGTTCCTTCACCAATGAAACAGAGGAAGCTGCACTCATGGAGCTCATGAATTTTATGTACAGCAATACATTAAATGCCAACTCAGCCCCTGCTTTACTGGATGTGCTTATGGCTGCCGACAAGTTTGAGGTGGCTTCCTGTATGAGACACTGCAGTCGTCTGTTAAGAAACCTCCCCATGACTACAGAGTCAGCATTACTGTATCTCGACCTTCCTTCAAGCGTTCTAATGGCTGAAGCAGTTCAACCACTTACTGATGCTGCAAAACAGTTCTTAGCTTCTCGTTATAAAGATGTGTCAAAGTAAGTTCACCTTGCCTCCCTTTCTTGTTTTTCTGTACATACGGAAGACGAAACATAACTCACAAATTTCACCTTTTATGATTATATCAATATCTGTTGTATCTATTGCTCGATTGAGTGAAAAAAGAGATTACTCTTGGTTTGCAACGTCTATCCACTAATTCTACATTAATTACCAAGATGAAATAGTTATCTTTATCAATTATATGTCCCTTGAGGAATTACAAAACAACCTTGTTTGAGTATTGTATTTACTTAACTAAACTAACTTCTTGAGGTCATAATATGCGGACTCGAAATAAATGAAAGAGTATTGTAAGTTTACAAGATAGCTCATTTTTTCCCTTTTTTTTTTTAAATAAATTAAGAAATTTATAATTACAAATAATACATTGACTACTAGTCATCCAACACTCATGTAGTTACATGTATCTTACAACAACAACATACCCAGTATATTCCCAACAGGTTGGGGTTGGGGTCTGGGGGGTCAGTTGTACGCAGACCTTACCCTTGTAATTATACAAGGCTTGTAATTATACAAGGAGGCTGTTTCTGTAGCGACCTAAGGTGCATTGCGTCGTTTGATATATTTTTTCTAGAAACTTCACTAATAGAAGAAGCACTAGAATTTAATTGAGCCATTTTGAGCTAGTCCATTATTAGCACTATGCCAGGAGAATTGTCAACAATGACTCTTCCAGCTCCATTTGTTAATTAAGTAATTTATTGTTATAGTTTATTTTGAAAAAAAAAATATATATATAGAAGTTTCAATTGAAAATTTTTAAAAACTTTTAACAACTTGCAATATTATTGTTATTTAAAATAACATTTATCATCTGTAAAACTTGCTCGATATATATTATAATAATATTTCTAACTCATCATTTAATAGACTTAGAGATAAATTAATTTCATGAATATAATAATTTCATATTCCAGTTAGGATTAATAGATATATAATATACTTTTTATAACAATAGATATAATTAATTTTTTATTTTGTGTATGCAAATATAGGTGATGGGACATATATAATATACTTTTTATAACAATAGATATAATTAATTTTTTATTTTGTGTATGCAAATATAGGTGTCCCATCGATGATCATAAAAAAATGATTAATGAAGTACATCGTATATGAAAATTGATAAAAGAATTATTAAGTTTTAAAATGTATTTATAATTTAAGTTGGTCAAGTGTTTTATAATTTTAAAAGTCTTGTCAATAAAAGTTTAGGTCTACATGCACATGGACTATTCCAAAGCAACAAAAATTGACATAGGATTATGAAGCACAAAAATTGACATATAGCATTACGAAGCTCCAGAAATTGATAGTTCGATTGGGAGAATGGGTGGGATAGATGCCACATTCAAATTATACTTATTCATCGCTAATGAACTCGACCCTTGTTTCATATAATGAGCCCAGATACCAAGACGAGGTCATGAACTTACCACTCGCTGGAATCGAAGCCGTCCTGTCGAGCGATGACCTTCAAGTACCCTCAGAGGATGCAGTTTATGACATTGCTCTCAAGTGGACCCGGAACCACTACTCGAAGCCCGACGAGCGTCGTGACATCCTCTGCACGCGCCTTGGCCGCTACATCCGTTTCCCCTACATGACCTCACGCAAGCTGCGGAAAGTCCTCACCTGCGGTGACTTTGACCGCGAATTCGCCACCAAATGCGTGCTCGACGCCCTTTTCTTCAAAGCGGAGGCCCCTCACCGCCAGCGGGCCCACGCGTCCGAGGAGTCATCCTCCTCTGGCCGCAGGTTTGTCGAGCGGGCCTACAAGTACAGGCCTGTGAAAGTGGTCGAGTTCAGTTCCCCCCGTCAGCAATGTGTGGTCTACTTGGACCTCAAGAAGGAGGAGTGTGGGGCCCTCTTCCCTTCAGGCCGGTTGTACTCGCAGGCCTTCCATTTGGGTGGGCAGGGATTCTTCCTCTCGGCCCATTGCAACATGGATCAGCAGAGCGCATTCAACTGCTTTGGGCTTTTCCTGGGGATGCAGGAGAAGGGCTCGGTGTCGTTTGCTGTTGACTACGAGTTTGCCGCCAGGTCCAAGCCGCTGGAGGAGTACATCAGCAAGTACAAGGGAAATTACGTCTTTACAGGTGGGAAGGCGGTTGGGTACCGGAATTTGTTCAGCATTCCGTGGGTGTCTTTCATGGCCGACGATAGTCCTTATTTTATCAATGGCGTGCTCCATCTTCGGGCGGAGCTCACCATTAAACGTGAGGTTGTGGCTTAGGAAGATCGATGAAAAAGGGGGAAAAGAAAATGGTTTTTTACATTTTGGAAGAAGGTTGGGGGTTAAGAAGAGAGGTATATGGAAGTGTGCTTTTATATTTTTGCCTGTGTTGCTTGGTTTTGTGTAGTTTCGTGCTTTGTGCTTGGGAGAAGTAGCATGGGCTACTGCCATTTAGGGCTGACTGTACGTGTAAACACATGCCATTTGAACATCATACACAAAGATCAAAGATCATGGGGATGTTTTTAATGTTATGTAAATAGGTTAAAAGACCTTTATTTATAGAATGAAAATTCGGAGAAATCTTATTTTTCGTTGTGATGTGTTTTGCCAATTCATAATATCAATATCTATGTTGGATACTTGATATTAATGCTTCAAGTCATGTATGATGTAAAAGCATTTTCAAAAAGGAAAAAAAAAAATAATAATAATAAGGAAATGTTATAAAACTAAAGAGAAAGAGAGAGGATAGAGAAAATGCGGTTTTACTATGTAGCCAACAGTTGGCTCCATTGTGGAGTCAACCTTCTATATATAACAAGTAAATCTACCATATTAATAAAATTATATTAGTGTTATTTAAGTAATCAAGGAATATGGCAGGTTTACTTGTTGTATATAGAAAGTTGGCTCCATTATGGAGCCAACTGTTGGCTTCATAGCAAAACCGAGAGAAAATGTATTCTCTTGATGTGTTTTTCATTATAACCGAAGCTACTATTTATAGGAAAATTTATGATAGCACAATCGTAATAATACAATTACATCGAGGACAAAATAGTCATTCACATACATAAAATTAATGGTGGTTAGTAATGTGTCCCTTTCTAACTTATTTTACAAGACTCTCCATTGTATGACTATTTCTAAACATATTTTAACTGATTTGAACAAAGCTCAATCTGAACATCCTGAAGTGTACCTTGTAGCTATCAGGTACTGGTGCTTCGGTATGTCAGGAAAACCCGGTGGGACAAAACCTGATCATCGTAAAATCATAACATTGCTTTCTCAGGAAAGCCCAGTGGGACAAAAACATGATCATTATGGAATCACAACATTTCTCCTTAGGAAAACCCGGTGAAAAAAACCTGAGCATTGTGGAAACACAATATTGCTCCCCTCAAACAGATCATCTTTAGTGGAGTATCCATATGCTGCCTCGTTAGAACCTTGTTAAGAAAACCCAGTGGGAAAAAAACTTGATCGAAGGAAAAGAGTACAACTACCACAGTGTCTTTCATCATGAGGAATCATATCATTTATCCAGTAGTTATCATCATACCATGAATATGCCTCGTTAAAACCTTATAATGAAAAACCTAGTGGGACAAAATCCTAATGAAGGAAAAAGAGTACACTATTCATGTGAATACGCCATCCATGTTGCCTCATTAAAAACCTTGCTAAAACACATCGGCAAAACTCAGCCAAGAGAAAAAGAGTGCAACGCGTATTCCGTATATTCACCATAACAATCTTCCCATAATTTGTATGAGTATCATATAGATTCATTCAGAGTTTCAGATACTGATAGTAATCATGATAATATTAATATCATGCTTTATGCAACGTTCATTCTTATTGTCAACTGATTTCAATGGTCTTACTGCCAATAGTTTCCAATAATCACAATTTCAGTTGATTTCAATCTCGTCAACATCATTTATATAGCGCTATTCATTTGTTTGGGTAAGTCGCATAATTTAGCCTCAAGCTGAAAGCATTATGCGGAAGAGAAATTATATACAAGGGATGAGGCCCGAAAGACCCATAATAGTGAGCCCAACGTGAATGTCACGCTATCTTTATCTTTTCTCCATCTTTTTTAAAAGTCTTAATTGCTAATAACACCATGACCTTTTTGAAAATTACAATTATATGCACCACTTTTAAAGTTGGCAAAAATATACACCACTTTCCTTAAAGTTTGCAATTTCATGCTCAGGGCCCAATTTCGAGCTTTTATTGCTGACGTGGATATTTTCTGATGGCATGGCACTAAGATGACGATAAAAAATAAAACACTATTGGTATTAGTAATTGAACCTATGTCCTCATGGGTGTATATGGGAAGTATTACCACTACACCATTACAAGTTGTATGGCTAAATTGGTCGCGTTAAATATATATACACATATTGTATGAACAATCAAATTAAATTTAAAAAAATAATATGTAAATTATATTTCATTATATTAATAAGATATAAAATTATAATAACTAAAACATAATAAAATAAAAATTATATATATATATTAAATAATAAAATAAATTAAAATAAAGTAAGATAAAATTATAGTAGAGTACATAAATTATATATATTTCTTATTTATTAAAATAAAACTATTTAAAAAAATTGAAATTAAAGATAATAATGATAAAATTATATTAAAAAATAAACTAGATTAAAGTACACAAGTTATAAAATAAAAATATTATAATATAAGATAATAAAGTATAAAAAAGTAAAGTAAAATAATATAATAAAATAATAAATAAAAAACCTTATTATAAAAAAATAAATAAAAATAAATAAAAATATTAAATTAATATAATAAAATAAAAAATATATTTTCATTATATTATTTAGTATTGTAATAAATTTAATTATTTATTATAATACTCTCAAATAATTTAATAAATTATTTATTTAATAATCTTTAATTATATATTTTTTATTTTACTATATTTATTGATTAAATTATATGAGATTATTTTAATAAATAATTTATTAAATCATTTGATCTTATTTTAATAAATAATTTATTAATATTATATGGAAAACATTATAATGAAATAATGTTTTTTTTTATTTTAATATTTTCATTTAATATTTTTATTTATTTTAATTTATCATTTCGTAATAAGTTATTTGATTTATTATTTTATTTATTCGATTTTATTTTACCATTTTTATAATTTATTTTATAATATTATAGTATTTTTATTTATTTTAACTAGTGTACTTTAATCTAGTTTATTTTTTAATTTACTTTTATCATTATTATTTTCATTTACAAATTTATATAACTAGTTTTTTTCTTATAAAATAAGAAATATATAAATATATTTAAATGTATTTAATTTTAATGCATTTTACTATGATAAAGTTTATCTTATTTTATTTTAATTTATTTTTTATTTAATATATACAATTTATTTTATTATATTTTAATTATTATAAGTTTATATATTATTAATATTATTAAATATAATTTACATTATCTTTTAAATTTGATTTGATTTTTCATACGTTATGTCTATATATGTATAACGCCACTAAAGTAGACATACAACTTGTATTAGTGTTGTGGTTACTACATCAATATACAACCTTAAGGTTGCAGGTTCGAACCCCAATTTATTTTTTATCACCAGCCATGTCTTGCCACATCAGCAATAAAAGCCCGAAGTTGGGCATGTAGCATGAAATTAATAAAAGCCCGAAATTGGGCCCAGAGCATGAAATTGCAAAAATTAATGAAAGTGGTGTGTATTTTTCATTGTTTTAAATAGATCGCTATATAGCTTTTTTTTCAAAAAAACGCGACGTAGCCTTATATATTTAGCGTTTTTCCCGAAAAGCTTACGCGAAATGTTGAAACGACACGCTTTCTTACGCTATTTTTGCGCTATTTTACGCTATTGTGCGCTACATTGCGCTATATTTCTGCAACGACATTTGAACAATAAAATATTAAAAAACTCGTACAAAATCATATTTACAAATGACAATAAAAACGAAAAATGTTGATAATGATTTCAAATTAAAAGTTTGAAAATGTAAAGTTCTAAGTTGAACAATGTATATTTTTGGTCTATTTTTGTTATATCATTTTATTTTTCAATATTTGACATTTAAATAAAGAATAAAAAGTTCATATCTAATGGTTAGAATTAAGTTGTAGTTAAATAAAAATATAATAATTAAAATGCATATACTTCAAATTATACTATGACTTACCTCGTTATATATTCATTGTTTGTTTTTTTTTTTTT